TCAATAAAAATCGACACGAACTTTAAACTGCGTATTATTACTAAAAGTCTTCATCTCGTAGCTCTCGTCAGCTGGCTTCCCACGTAGGCAACTTACTCTGAGAACTACAAAATACAATATTCTCAGTAATAGTCCATAATCTGAAGACAATGCGATAAACCCTATTACATGGAAACTGATAATGTCGTGTAACGTGGGAGAGTAAAATTTTGCTAACCCCGTTACTCATAAAGTACACTTTTGAGATGACCTCTGATAAACCTAAACCTTGTATGCTGCGATATCAATCCTAGAGTCAACGCTCTTATGTAGAGCATCCCCAAAAACCAGCAGCACTAGTGCGCTGCTACAGTGCATGATAGTATCATGCACTGTTGATATGGACATGGAAACACGGAAAGCTCTTCTTCTGAGAACATCGATGTTAATATTATGTTTATTATATAAACAATAATAAGTATCACATGTTACATAAACAGTTAAACACAATTTCATAAATAATTAATAACTCCCGTTCATGTTCACGTATCGCTCACCGTTCGTTCCGTACAATCGTACAATTAAAACAAAGAGCTATTGAGGCGCTCAGTCAATGACAATCATTCAATTAACGTTTTGCTAATTTGAGGGTATAACCGACATTATAATTGTTTTACGAGCTGTTATACTTAACGACTAATTCATTGCCTCCTTTCTAGTGCTGTTGCTGATTAACTTATCTTTTTGTGACTTTCTTTCTATCGTTATCCCAATAAGAGGTGGTGTACAGGTCGTCTGTATTTGATTGTAAAAGATTGGTGAATTAAAGTATTTGATCTACGTAATAAAATTGCTACTAAATTTACTAATGTTGATTATCTACGTAACCAATTATTACTAAGTATTTCAAAATCAAATCCTTAAAAACAATGGTATACAGCTAAATATAACTTTTCAATATAAAATCAATGCCACGTACGCCATTTTGGTCACTCGCATCAAGCCATTACTTTGTTTATCTTAAATATTAAATGTTTTTTTTATGTGGCAGTATCTAATACTTCATATATAATAAATGAAACTAATTTCGTTCGGTACTTAAATCATAGTATCGTACTTGCACATTCTAATCACGTTTACTCTAAAACTGTAAACGTATAGATCACATTGTTGTACGAGGAACACGTTGAACCATGTTGTACGGTGCACTGAGACCGCCACAAACTTTGTAATTAAACAAACAACTCGAAAGATTCTCAAACTTTCCAACAACTTACCTATTTTCTATTAGGATATCGATTGTTTCGCATCAAAACAAACTAATCTAGACGTTCTAGTTTAGTACTAGTTGATTAAAGTTTAACTATAATGTTTAGTTTCTATTTACTAGCCTTGTTTTTTCGAAAAGATGGAGGAGGAAAATCATTCAATGGCTTCTCCCGCCTGGATGAGGCGAGAAGGAGTGTCATACTCTTACTGACTAAAAACCATCCCGTTCCTACTTCTGCACTTTGAGCCGGAGACCCGGCAACCCGTTAAGTCTTCCGTCTGATGGCTCTTAGAGGCGCGCGCGGAACGCGACGCGGCTCGAAGTGCAGGAGAAGGAACGGCCTTCTCCTGCACTTCGCTTTTTCTCAGGGGAAAAATCATCCAATGACTTCTCCTGCCCGGATGAGGCGAGAGGGAGTGTCAGACTCCTGCACTTCGAGCCGGAGCCCCGGTAACCCGTTAAGTCTTCCGCGGCTCCGTATCGGCATCGCCCTATTGGGCTCCATCTGTGGTGGTTTGATTACTCCCTGATATTTACCCGAATAGGGTGAAGTTAAAAGAGAGTGATGATTTTGACCTCTATGTGTGTATAAACATATTTCAACAAATTAATAGTAATAAGGTCATAAGTGAATTAAAAATCCATTTAGTCCGTCAGTTAAATTATTTATTTACTTTTATTTATTTTCAGCCATGATTCTCTCCATTCCTCTCTATGTAAAGCTTTTTGCGGCAAATGCTTATCATAGATGTCCAGTTCGTCCCGCCATCTCCTATAGGCCTGCCGCGACGTCTATTGATGTTGAGCAGACTCCAATTTAGTTCGTCAGTTAGATAATACAAAATATTAAATATGTATTTTTTTATTTTATCATATAAACAATGCTTAGATAAAACGGTTTAAAGTTTAGGATTCGAGGTGAAGGGTGATCGGAGTAAAGCTCTTTACAAAATGTACTAAATCTTGACGTCCTACAATATTTCAAAACAATACACTATAACCGATTTTTTTATTATTCTGTAACAAAGTAAAAACATACGCGTATGTTATAAAATAATTATACTAAGTCCAAAGTCCACTACTTTAAAATAAAATGTAGGTAAACAATAGGGATGACACCCTATTGTTCAAAAAAATACGAAAAGTGTGAGAACATGTAAAATATTTCTGTTAATTAAAGGTACCTACTTGTTATCAATGGCACTTCTATTGACGAACGTGGTATTTTTTATTAGAGTTTCATCACTCATCCCAGCCGTGAATGATAGAGTGTAGGTATAGTAAAATAACTAGACGTGGTATTTATTTTAACGTTTCTATAACACACTTATTGTTTTTTATAGGGATAAATGAGCACACGTAATGATAAGCAATCGGCTTCGCCCATGGAGACCTGGAATATCAAGGGCGTTACAAGTGCGTTACCGGCCTTTTGGGGATTAGGATTTTGAGGATTGTTAGGGATTCAGGGATTGGCGAGGTCGGTGAAGGGTGGGGGGAGGGTAATTGGGCCTCCGGTAACCTCACTTACACGACGATATACAACGCAAGCGTTGTTTCACGTCGGTTTTCTGTAAGTCCGTGGTATAACTCCGGTCAAGCCGGCCCATTCGTGCCGAAAAATGACTTTTCCAAACAAATGGTTTATCAAAAATCGATGTCAAAGTATAATAAATGCCTCAAATTAGCAATTAAAATTGGCATAAATTAAAAAAAAATGACATGCTAAGTAAACCTTAAATGAAATAAAAAAAAAACTAATCGTCGTCTCAAAAAACAAGTTAAATCTTTAAGCATTTAAGAAAAGTTCAAGCAAAAGCGAGCAATTTGTTAACCAGTACAAAACATCTAGTTCTGACTAGTCATCACTATAATTAATGCTAATTTTCACAACAACTACGAGACTAGAAAATCTTCAAAATGAAAAACCTACTAAAAATTCTGAACACTCATTGATTACGCTTTCAATTTACTTTTCTATTACTAATTTCTGTTAAGACAAAAGCTGACTTCTTAATGGAATTTCTGAATAAATAGTTTTAGGTACACAGATTTTTTTGGTTCGATTCCCGGGTAGGGTATTACTGGGATTTAAAAAAAAATCCAGTCTGTTAATGTGCCCGGTATATGGCATACGCTCGATTTTCGACGTTCCATGAATATTTTGGTTTATTTTAGTTAGTTTTATATATTTAGTTTTTCATCATATTTGAGTTTAATTGCAATTTAACGTGTAAGTAAATAAAATTACTATTCTTTACACAAGTATAGTGTTTTAATAATTTTATTATAGGAATACACTTAGGAGTACTTCATAAAAATAAAAGAAATGGGTTAAAATTAATTTCTATTTAATTATTAACATCTTATATCGAAATATGTACATCTTAAAAATATAGTTTACAAAATTATGTTAAATCTGCAATTTCCAAAGGCATTTCATCAATTTGGGTGGCGTAATACTGTTCGATGTCTCTAAGAATCCTGATGTCATCTGCTTTGGCAAAGTTGACGGCTACACCTTTGCGTCCAAAACGACCTGTTCTACCGATCCTGTGGATGTACAGCTCTCTGTTATTCGGCAAGTCGTAGTTGATGGACAGCGATACCTGCTGCACGTCAATACCTCGAGCCCAAACATCAGTTGTAATCAGCACACGACTGGAAAATAAAGATATTACAAAGTTAGTCACATAAACATTTAACAATTATGTACTGAACGCAAGAAGAAGATATAAAAAAAAGACAATTCAACTCAATTTTGAACCTCAAACTTAGAATTTAGTTAATTGGCGTTATGTCTTAGTTGCAAATATCATTGTAAAGTTCAAACTCATAATTCCATAACAATAAGACAAGAATCCAAAGGAAACGAATTCAATATCGATGTTGTAGTAGGTAAGCGTAGATACCATTGGCCAGAGCGGAACATCTTCATGATTTCATCTCGTTCTCTTTGTGGCATGTCTCCGTGCATAGAGCAGACTGTGAAGTTGGCATCCAACATCTTCTGTGCAAGCCAGTCAACCTTCTTCCTAGTGTTGCAGAACACAACTGATTGATTGATAGTCAAGGTATCGTAGAGATCACAGAGAGTTTCAAATTTCCATTCCTCCTTTTCCACATTGATGAAGAACTCCTTGATTCCTTCCAAAGTTAACTCGTCACTATGAAAAACAATATAAATTAGTATTGGACAAAAATTTTATAAATTTTTTAGCATAAACGAGAAAAGAAATCATGTTCCGATACATACCGTTTAACTAAAATTCGGAGAGGGTTCGTCATGAACTTTGACGTCATTTCCAAAACTTCATGAGGCAGTGTTGCAGAAACAAGAACAACTTGTATCGAAGGTGACAGGTACCGGTATATATCATAAATCTGTTTCTTGAAATTATGATTCAAGATTTCGTCAGCTTCATCAAGGACCAGCATTTTGATGGATCGGGTTCTTAATGCTCGTCTCTTAATCATATCTAAAATTCAACATCAAATATATAAATATTATTTTTTTTTTTACTTCGGACGTGAAGCTGTTGAAACATTCTAAATTAATTTCTATATTTTACTAGCAAATCTTCAGAAACTACAGGGACCGTGTGAGGTGCGGGTGGCGAGAACTATTCTCATTACATTGCCTAACAGTTCTCCCCTCACAGAATATGTTGTGGGCATATTTTAGAATAGAAATAAATACAAAGATTAAGTTATGCCCAATTAAGATTAGAAATAAATATCACATGAAAAAAAATCCCATTATTAGGAAATCGACTGTTGGTCCAAACGTATTTTTTATAATATCATGAAAGAACTTACCTATAACGCGTCCTGGTGTTCCGGATACAACATGCTGCCCATAGCCCAGCTTCTTTATATCTTTATCAAGACTGGTGCCACCAGTACAAGCGTGGCACTGAACATTCATGTAGTCACCCAAAGCAAGTATCACTTTCTGGATCTGAGCGGCCAACTCCCGAGTAGGTGACAGCACCAGGACCTGGGTTTCACGTGTTCTAGTGTCCAAGGACTGCAGGATAGAAATAGATGTGGATGCTGTCTTGCCGGTACCCGAGTGGCCTTGAGCTATCACATCTCTTTCTTTTATGATTGGCAGTATACTCTTCTGCTGAAACACAGATGGCTTCTCGAAACCTAAAAACAATAGATTATGCGTTACCGTGTCAGGACAAATCAACAATTTTAACTTCACAACAATATCTATTTTGATATTTGATTGAGATTTATACATACCATAGTTGTAGATTCCTTGAAGTAAATCACCTTTCAAGCCCATGGAGTCGAAAGTGGGACTTATCCTCACATCTTCACTAGTTTCAAACTCCACTCTAGACATATCTCGACTTTTGATTTTGCGATTAAACGCCACTTTTTTTAAACCCATCTTACTTTATTTGTTTTAAAGTTAAAAAATAATAACGCTTTACGATAACAGACGCACTCACAGCGTAAATTGTATTTTTAACACTAATACTTCACAGACGAGGTATAGAAATTGTACTGCACCCAAAGGCTCAAGTGAACAGAATGATCACTACCAGCGATACGATGCGCCAAGTGAAGACCACCGGGTACCCCCACCCATCGACCGTCCAATGACAGTGGACGCCCATTTTATTTTATCACTATCTCTTTCTAACACATTATTAACAAAAAAGAAAAGTCATTTTTAATAATAAAAAAGTCGTTATTGTTGTGGAACAATGTGAAATATTTACCATGATAGCACCTCTTTCTTTTGTTATTAGTAAACATTTGACATTCTTTTATTTACGAAAAATGTAATTACTTCTAACCAGTATGGGATTTTTTTGGCGTAGGTGAATATAGGTAATTATCTCATTATCGTTAAAGGCACTTAGACAAAAATTAGAATTCATGCAAAAATTCATCAAAGTCATTAACTTAAATTGAGATATCTGGCTAATAGTCAACACCATGGTTATTATAAATCATTTATTTTTGTCTAAATTATACATTTACAATAGGGCAAAATAATTTCTACACAATAAACAAAATTGCCCGCTACTACATGTCGCTGTGTGCGTGTATAACAATAGGCAAAGTCGACACCCTGTGGGAGAAGCTATGCACGGTCGCATGTTGCTAAATCAGCTGATATCACCTACATTACCGTAATTTTTAATTTTAAGTAATTTTTTAACCAATAAGGGATTATTAAGCAGCAAAATCTAATCAATGAAATGATTAGTAGTGGTCCTAAAGATTTAGTAGGTAGATCTTTAATTTATAAGATTGGATGACAAGAATCGGTACAGTTGTAACAAAACAAAAGCTTATATTTTTTTTTTGTTTAATGGTTTATCATTTGGTTTTGTTTTAAAAGCCGGTCGTTGTCTTAAGGCTGTAACTACAACAAAGAACAATAAGATAACGATAAGATTAAAAAGAAACAATAATGCCAAACATAAAACACCACGAGTCAAGTCTACTTAGCCTCTTTTTCCCACATTTTAATAAACAGTAGGTACAAAGTACATTTTAAACATAACTCTTTCTTTGTCGCTCGGTATCGAAGAGGCAAGTTATAATGACGTTAACTAGTCTCCAAGTAACTGCAGAGAATAAGTTAATTTTAAAATACTTTGACAGAATACTTAAAGAGGATCACTGAACTTTTGACTGTGGTAATATATTCATTAGTTTTGTAAACATTATTATGATGTGTAATTAATTTTTTATGTATTTTAAGTACGGCTAATGCGAAAGGGTTGAATCCAATAAGCATGTGCTATTTTTTGCTTGGAATATTTGTTTTATTTTTAGCATGTGTCAATTTTTGTTGTCGCAGCTATTGTAGCTTCATTGTGTCGGCAGTGAAATTATTGCTGGTATTTCGTATTAAAATTTTTTGCATTTATTATTTGTATCGTAGATTATTAAAATAGGTGCAATAAGGTAGTTTGAAATATCGTGTGATGTCACAGCGTGCCACATTTTGTAGCACGTTATGATGTAACGACCTCCCACTCCTAAATCTCAATCATTTTATCTAAGTATTTCAACTTAATACGAGAAAACAAAAAAATACGTGTCTAATATTTTTTCATTATCTAACTGACGGACTAATTAGATTTTTAATTTTGATACGCTGGAGACTACCCAATTATCCCTTTATTATATACCTCTATATATTACCTAACTTGCACGATATTAAGTTGCGGCCTAGTACTCTTACCTTACCTAGTATATCTTCATAACCTAGTTAGTTAGTTTAACAAGGTGCAGTAGTCCATGGCTGTATATAGTACGTCGGTATGGATAGAGACCTACCATTAGATTTCCGCACTGCAATAATATAATTTGCGGTCTCACATTTCCTGCGAGTTAATGCTGCTATCAAACTATTACATTACAACCATTATTTATATGCAAATGCAGACAACGATCTTCAGAAATGAGGAACCGTCCCGAGGAAACAGACAAATATACCAGATCAGATAATTACATAGATCAGTTTTTAATTTGGTGTTCAGCAGAATGATGATAGACGTCTCATATAAAGTTAAAGAGACAGAAAGGAAAGCATTACATCTCAGTTTATTCCGACGTTTCTTCTCTGATTAGAAGAGTCATCCTCATCTAATTTGAAAGTCTTTCTTATACATTAAGGGTTTATATAATATCACGCAAATGATTCACATCAACAGCCTATCAATGCCCACTGCTGAGCAAAGCCTCTTCTCACATGGAGAAGGTTTGAGCATTAATCACCACGCTTGCTCAATGCGGGTTGGCGATTTCAAACTTATAATTAGAAATTATAAGACCAGGTTTCCTCACGGTGTTTTCCTTCATCGTTTGTCAGTGGTTTAGAAAGTACATATAACTCGGAAAAAGCCACATTGGTACTTGCCGTTGGTAGGTTTCGAATCCGCACTCCCATGCATGAAAAGCGGGCGTCTTAAACCTCCGGGCAACCACGACAAGGATTGAAAAGGGAATATTACGATAGTTTGTGCATGGATAAATAAAATAAACATTTATAAAGCCACACACGTCAACATAAACAGCTACAGTCATATAGTATCACCACAATTTTTCAACAATGCGGTCCATTCATACACCCACACTCGCGCCGGATAATCACCACGCTTGCTCAATGCGGGTTGGCGATTTCAAACTTATAATTAGAAATTATAAGACCAGGTTTCCTCACGGTGTTTTCCTTCATCGTTTGTCAGTGGTGTCTAAATAATCTTAGAAAGTACATATAACTCGGAAAAAGCCACATTGGTACTTGCCGTTGGTAGGTTTCGAACCCGCACTCTCATGCATGAAAAGCGAGCGTCTTAAACCTCCGGGCAACCACGACATTTGACAAGTATTGAAAAGGGAATGTTATGATGGTTTGGACATGTAGAAAGGATGGATGAGAGTAGAATAACGAAAGAAGTATACAGAGGTCGCCCTAGACGAACATATTATATTAACCAGATTGACAATATATTAAAGAAGGGCCGTATTAAAAGTACTTTGAGCCGAACAGCGTGCATGAAAAGACTAATGACTGTTGATGAAACAAAAGAGGTACGTAAGAATCGTAGTAATTGGCGTTCCTCATGTAGCTTTCCTTAACGCTCAGTAAGCAGAGGCTCACCCCCATTGGAGACGGGCGTGAGGTTATACATATATGTGTATTGTGTATGTATGATTAGTAACAAAAATAAACGATTATAAAGCCACACACGTCAACATAAACAGCTACAGTCATATAGTATCACCACAATTTTTCAACAATGCGATCCATTCATACACCCACACTCGCGCCGGATAATTAAAACGAAGGCTCAATGAGGCGTTCAATTAATGACATAATAGTTCACTTAACACGACGATCATTTATGAGAATGGCGACTATTCGTTCATTCTTTCCGGGTTAGTGGGGTACAACCCCATCATTAATCTGTGGTTATTGTAAAATATTATGTCTTGGGAATGTTTGATAAATAAGACAGAGGTTATTTTATTTCTTAAAGTTCCATACAGTGATTCCCTAAAAAATAACATTCGATGATTGTAATAAGGAAACCCTGGGCTTCGAATTTCTAACTATAGGTAAGATTGAGATCGCCAACCCACATTGAGCAAGCGTGGGGATTTATGCTCAAACCGTGTGAGAGCCTTTGGTCAGCAGTGGCCACTTATACACTATTATAGCTTGTTGAAGATTGTAATAAGAATGTCGGTATGCGCTGTTGAGTGTGGCGCACACAACTTGAGATTTAGATAGGAAGAAATCACTGATAGTCAAGGAATATCCGTTTATTATATACTTCGCTACCATATAACTAATGCTATCTAGGTTGATGTGGTGAGTACTGATATATATAAGTATATAACTGATATAAAGTCCCGATGTGAATGTGCGCGTGCCCTGTACGATACAATGTCAATAAAAATCGACACGAACTTTAAACTGCGTATTATTACTAAAAGTCTTCATCTCGTAGCTCTCGTCAGCTGGCTTCCCACGTAGGCAACTTATTCTGAGAACTACAAAATACAAAATTCTCAGTAATAGTCCATAATCTGAAGACAATGCGATAAACCCTATTACATGGAAACTGATAAAGTCATGTAGCGTGGTAGAGTAAAATTTTGCTAACACTGTTACTCATAAAGTACACTTTTGAGATGATCTCTGATAAACCTAAACCTTGTATGCTGCGAAATCAATCCTAGCGTCAACGCTTTTATGTAGAGCATCCCCAAAAACCAGCAGCACACTATCATGCACTGTTGATATGGACATGGAGACACGGAAAGCTCTTCTTCGGAGAACACCGATGTTAATATTATGTTTATTATATAAACAATAATAAGTATCACATGTTACATAAACAATTAAACACAATTTCATAAATAATTAATAACTCCCGTTCATGTTCACGCATCGCTCACCGTTCGTTCCGTACAATCGTATAATTAAAACAAAGAGCTATTGAGGCGCTCAGTGAATGACAATCATTCAGTTAACGTTTTGCTAATTTGAGGGTATAACCGACATTATAATTGTTTTACGAGCTGTTATACTTAACGACTAATTCATTGCCTCCTTTCTAGTGTTGTTGCTGATTAACTTATCTTTGTGTGATTTTCTTTCTATAGATATCCCAATAAGAGATGGTGTAAAGGTCGTCTGTATTTAATTGCAAAAGATTGGTGAATTAAAGTATTTGATCTACGTAATAAAATTGCTACTAAATTTACTAATGTTGATTATCTACGTAACCAATTATTACTTAGTATTTTAAAATCAAGTAACAAGATAATATTATGTTACCGTATTAACTCTCCTCCTAATGCGGAGGCGAGAGAGGCGGAGTTATACGAGGGATACAGGGCGGCGAAGGCCCTCCT